ATTTCGGGTTTTGAATAATTATTTTTTCTGTAGCTGAACAGTTTCAAATCTCGACGCTTAACAAACGCTTCCCAATCATGACTCGGCATATTCTGTACGTTATGCGGATGTCGCCCATCGTGTCGGTTGGGTGGGTCGAGGGTGTATTATTGTGATCTACTCTCTTGTCATATGGTGCCAATTATTGTTTCTAAGCTATAAATAAATTGTTTTCTTCAGGTGAAAATGCTAAATGACAACGCTTTCTTCCAAATTAAAAGAATCATTTTTTTCGCAAACTTCTTAAAATGGGCTCCAGACCTAAAATATGCCTCACATTTTGGTTTCTATTTTTTCTTAAATTAACAACATAAAATTCAAACACCGAATGTGTGTTACCTCGTATTTGACGGGTGACTGAGAACTCAGTCTACGAAATAGTCTCTCGACAGAATAGACCTATAAGTACGATTTTCTTCACTTTTTAAGGCTCCTAAATATTTTAATTTTTTTAATTGCTGACTTCAAAAAAATCGTAACAAAGTGGATATTTGAAAGAAATTTATGTTCCAAATCAATCCGTTAAGAAAAAAAAATATCTTAAATTGTTGTGCTGAAAATTTCAATGAAATAAATTTTACAAATTATACTCTTATTTAAGTCGCAAACGTTCAATGCTCACTGAGACGTATTAAAAGAGTAAAGAATCTTAACTTAAAGGGCCATTGTTATCTTATTAAATAGTTGCATTTTCGCCCATAAACCCGATAGGCTAGTTTTTGGCTGACCCTAATTTGCATGCGCAGCATAGCTATGAATAAAAATACAGATAAAATTAGAAAATAAATTTCCTTAAGGAATTCTAAAAATAATGGAGTAAACTTCAGGGCACTGTGCCAACATGAGTTGCGTTTTTGTAAGAGTGAAAATCTACAAAACTGCTTTAGAAAAAATTGGTACCGTGAAACAATGCTGGAGTGGCTCCCATACATCGGCCCTTGTTCGGTTTATAATCATTTGCTAATTACCATATATACAATGGTTTACAGAAGTATGGCTATAAATATGTAATTCTTTTATTCAAAATTTACTCGAGCAAATAATTTTTTGAATTTGTTCCAAAATTGAGTGTCCGATTTTACCGATTGGTAAATATTTCAAAAGTATTTAACATTAAATTTTTTTTTGTTGTTATTGATATTATTATAATTTTTTTGCGAAGTAGAAATTCAACATGTCTAAATGAACTAAATTAGTATGAAGCTAATGCATTGTCAGGTAATTGTCAGCTCGTGAGACGATTCTGTGTTGAAAATAACAGTGGCTTACATAGGAAACTGATGGAAGGTTAACTGATCAATTAAAAACTAATACAAGAAGGATTCTAGTTAACTACTAGAATTTTTCACTGCAGTGTCATTATAGTTAATGTCAAATAACGGGATTTTATTGTAAGTACTAAGATTGAAAATTTCTTTAATAATCCGTGAACTTACTTATCTATCCAGGTTCTGAGATAGAAAAAAAAAAAAAATTTTCAAATTTAAGTCTTTAAGTTTGCCTTTTTTCTTTCAAGTTCACTGCTGCTGCAACAGCCTTCATAGAGCAGCCCTATTTCTGATATACCATTAGTTATTGTGGTTGTGCGCCCATATATATTTTTCCTTGGCCCAGATAATTAATAAGTTCGGAAACTATATAATCTCTACGCTTTCATTAATTAGGATATATCTACGGCCGGGAAAGTAGATATGGAAATTTAAAGAGATGTCAGCTGAGCTTGGTAAACAGAAAGTATAGTATGTAAGATAAGATCTCCCAATGCGAATATAGATGTTTATAAACAACTTATACGTGATATATTAGCTCCTTATCTTGTGAGAAATTTTCTCCATGTATTTTAGAGGGTGAACCCAGAGTTATCAAAACTCCGGCCAAACGCACCAAGAGAAACGTTTGAAGGTCTAACGCAGAGAACGATTAAAAAAAAATTGAAAATTTAGAAATAGGATCAGCCCGAACTGTACTGAACTCTAGACCGATCACGGAAGGTCGCTGTTATACTTGCCTCTTACACTGAACTGATACAGATTCGGTCCACATTGTATAAGCTTAATCGAAATGATTATTTGTAAACTTAAGGCTCTCAGTAAATACACAGATACAGAAAAACGAGTCGAAGGAATCAATGCTGACGGAATGCGTATTAAAATCGTTGCGCAAAGCTCTGAAGAAGTCGTGAGTTTCAAAGTGAGCTTCGTAAAATCACAATGAAAAAGACCTAAACTAGCTAGATGGTCTTAAAGAGCTACTAAAGTTAAGCACGGTAAGTAGAAATATAGAAATGATACCTCTTATCGACTTAGTTATAAATAAAACCCCAGGCATCTTTCTACGACTACTTAGTGTAGGTCTCAAGCGAATTTTGTAAAGAGTAAGATGAATTGTTAACGGTAATAATGGGAATTGTTTTTGTATAGATTTCATCTTATCTCCATACAAGTGATAGTGAGGTGAAAATAATTGTATTTACACTTGCTTAAATTTAGCGACATAAAATGAATGTCCCATCACCTTACTATATTATTTAGGTAAGGTCGGGTTGCTAAAGTTCTCTTTCTTCTATAGAACGAACCGATTTAAAAGAGCCTAACAAAATCTGTATTGATAAAAGTCTTGGAATGATGAACCACATTCGGAAGCTCATTGAAGAAATAGTAAGGGACCGAGATGACTGTCTTGAGGTATTTAGAAATTAATCCACGTTATGTAAATTCTAATAACTCATCGCATCACATCATCTCTGCACAACTTTGTATACCACATCACATGACATCAAATCACATGACATCAAATTATATGACATCAAATCACATGACATCGACTCACATGACATCAAATCACATGACATCACATCAATAGATCAACATATCACTATTACAACATTATACATCCCACAACAGCAACCAAAGATATTTTTATTTTCGTTCTATTGCATTATAAATGAAAGTTGAAATTTACAAATTTGCATCGAATTTAATTAAATTTAGCTAAATTGTCAGTCCATTGAAAATGGGCACAAAAAAGCGGCAGTCTGTTCAGAAAAAGGCTTTGAAAGCTCGGTGGGTGAGAGTCTTAAGTCTTTGAATTAGAGTAAATAAATTGAACTGGTGTTAAGTCATTAAAGTTAAAGTAGATTTAAAGTAAAGTTAAACTCAAGTTAAAGTTAATTTGAATGAAAATTAAGCTCAAATTAAATTTAAATACAAATTAAAGTGAAAGTTCATAATTCAAGACAAAAATTAAAATAAGAAATGTGATGTAATTTCTGGCGGCTGATTATGAAAACCTTCATATTCCTCCCTGTTGCTCCAACATTGGACACTGCGTTCCACACAACCATCCAGGGCTAGGCACACGCAATCCCAAATACAACGCGATGCACTCATAATTGAAACTAATACAACGAACACGAGGCAACGGACAAAACTAACTCTTCGCTGTTAGGTATAAAAACCTAAGAAGACAGGACTCGTGAGTCGCCTGCTGTAGTGACAGGTAGCTTTAGCGCAAATAAGTAGGGAACAACTATCTACTTTAGGTCCCAGTAGAAAGCTACGAACAACTCACTCTCCTACTTTTACTGCCGATTAGGCATTTAAAGGCGGTGAGGTACTGCTCCCCTTCTGGGAAGGTAGTTGTGAGGTGCTCCTCTATCTTCTCGACCTGTACATCCACGCACGTGTACGACAATTAAAATGAGCTCCATTGTAGTCATTCATTATTTGTGAAGAACGCCGGAAATGTACTGATTTTAAATTGCTGGTTGCAAACAAATCGGACGTAAATGAGAGTAAATTTAATGACGACCCTATACATCCACCAAGTTCTGCTGAATCTCTTGTTGTGCGTGATAGGACTCATAGGTTTTCTTTACTCGCTCTCCGCGCTGCCGTACCTATCATCACACACCCAGTTCAATAATCGTAGCTACGTTTTAAATCTGATATCTTAAATGACTAATCAATGTGATCGGTTTCCTTAACGCCTACGCAGGCAGTTTAGTCGCGTGCCCATATGTTCTATTATGAAATCTAATCTCATTAATAAGTCTACAAATAGTTTATAAATACATAAATATGTCTATGATGACTGTGATGTGTGTGATGTCTGTGACGTCAATCACTCTGATCGACAGTCAACACAGAGAAAGATTTTTCCTTTTTCCCTGGGATAATGAAACGATTTGTTGACTTAAATTACGGATGAAACGACACGTGAAAACCAAAAACCGCAAATCAAAACAAAACCGTGGAAATATAAAGATAATACCAACAACAAGTTATTCTGTTTATATAATTACACAAATGTATACATACGTGTATGTACATATTTTTGTTGCTCAAGTGAGCAAATGATGCCCAACATCATAAAATATTCGCATTGTTTAGAATATGAAAGCATAAGCAGGGTAGCAAACCAACTAAGAGACAAGAAAATTATTTACATAAATATTGTGTCAGGCAAATAAAATCAAATGACTCCGAGTCACCGGGAAAATCAAATGCCGAGCGCCGTGTGTTGCAAATCAAAAGTGAATTGTGTCAGTGGGCACATTCTATCGGCCGTTTTCGAAAGAGACTCTATGTTTTCAACACGAAAATATTGCCAAAACAAAAAACATGAAGGAAAATGCATAGATTAAATAATCTCTTTTCGTTTTAAAAATAAATAGAGAACGTAATGATTAAATAATTGTTTTTTTTTTTTTTGTTATTTAATTTAGTTCTATTTTTCTCGTAGACCGTTGGACGAGACAGATGGACCCGAATGTGTTTATGTGTATTCACACGTGCGTGTGTGTGTGTGTAAATATGTGTGAATATGTAGCAATATCTTATTGGTACGTCGCGTACGAAACAAACGAGAAAAATAGAAAATAGAATTTTCAAAAATTTGCCACTTTTCGAAAATTCACCGAGAAATCGCGCGTAGATTATACCTGCGCGTTCGTCTTTTGGTTCGCATGCACGATTTGCTAGTCGAAAAATCGTCGCGGATCAGTTTGGTAATATCAAAAATAAATTCACACAAAGTTGTGCAATTTCTTCTAGACGAAAATTTTCTATAACTAAAAACAAGTGAAAACAATTTTATTATCTCAATATACATTACGATTGGATTTATAACCCGATTTTCGTGTGCTGGAGCTTTGTCGACTTCTTTTCGTAATTTTTTTTATTTTGGTGTTTAAGAGCAAAAACAAAATAAAAAATAAACATAATATATATATATAAATATAAACGAAATAATAGTAATTTTCCAAATAGTACAACTGCGGGGCTGACAAAATGGCCACCCTAACAGTATCTCGGAGAAGAGAAATAATGCAAAAAGCCGGTTGGAAGATTGACCAGAATGATGAGGGTAACTTGAAATAAAAATAATACGTAAATAGATTATAATGTATATTAAATACGTAGCTCAAAATTTAAATATATGTATATATATTATGGCATGGCGTTTTGTAAGCGCTGAAGCGATTTGCTGTCGAGCTCCTCCACCAATTTGTGGTTTTGCGTCTTGGTATTTTTCCAACAAAGGAAGGGACCTACAGTTTATGTGCTAAGCCGCCTCCGAACGGCTGATGGTTTTTGTTATGAGGAGCTTTTATTTCAGGTCAGAAATACACTCGAAAGGATTGACTTTCCCTGCCGAGGGGCGACTGCACTTAGAAAATTTTACTCAATTTTTTTTTTAATTAATTTTCTATAACTTTTGGATGCTCGTCGCAGCAGGATTTGAGCCCGAGCCTTCCGAATGGTAGTACGCAATGCCAACCGCTCGGCTACCGCGGCCGCCAAAAAATTTAAATGCATGCATATTTAATAAGTTTGTAAGTTAATGTGCATTATCTGCTTTTGAATACAAATATGTATGTATATATGCATTGTATCAAATTTAGTGCAAACATTTCTCAACATTTATGCCGCCGAAAGCAAACCACCACAACGAAGGTCGAGAAAGTGCTACGAGAATGTTGAGTTCTGGCAGCATCCACAGTTTTATGTGTATATGTTTTAGTCAAACATCGAGCTTTGGCAGTCCTGGGTAGACTACTCAAACCTCAGGCTGGCATTAATTTAAGTCCAAGTGAATGACGTTTTTCTTACTTCGGCTAAAGAATTTTCATCTAATCTAGGAGATACTTATTTGAATTGGAGCTTGGCCCTCAAACAAGGGATTAAAAATATGTTAGTTAGTTTGTTAGATTAAGAAACTTTTCCCTTAAAATATCGATGGTTTCGTAGCGACGTCTTGTTGAAAGTAAGTTGCCAATTCACTCCAATTCATTTTCGAAGTAGTAACATCCAATGACCCTCCCGGACCATAAACCACACCAAACAGTTATACGTTTGGGATGGAGGTTCAACCATAAATCTTGGGTTTCCCGAGTACCCGATGCGACAGTTTTGCTTATCGACGTAGGCATAGAGGTGGAAATGTCAAAAGTGACATTTATTCAAAATAAAACCTCTTACTGGAATTTCCTTTATTGTTTAAATGTTATATTCATACATACATGTACAAGGTGTGTTCAAAAATTTTGAATGTTCACTTAATTGCTTGCAGGTGTTTTGGATGGTCTTCGATTTTTAATTTTCAGTTTTCTTCGATTGCAGGGGCGTGGTGCATCATGAGTTCTTGCCACAGGGTAGAACGGTCAATAAGGAATATTACCTGCAAGTTGGCTTTTGCACCACGATATCGCCCCTGCTCACACATCGTTGCTTGTGCGCGACTTTTTGGCCAAAAACAGCATACTCATGATGCCGCAGCCACCGTATTCCCCAGATCTGGCCCCTTGTGACTTTTTCTTCTTCCCTAAACTGAAGTGGCCCATGAAAGTACGGCGTTATGCTGCGATTGACGAGATAAAGACGGCATCGAGTGGCATAAGGGTACAATATCTCATGGGGAATACTTTGAAGGGGACAAAATAGATATTCATGAATAAATAAAGAATTTTTGAAAAAACACAAAATTCGCGATATTTTTTGAACACACCTCGTATGTATATAGTATAATTAATAAAAATACGAATAATAACTTTTGTATTGCTTTTTGTGTTATGCCATGCGGAAATCACCGGAACAAATCCTGGTATGACCAATATCCCAAATTTATAGAAAATTAATTTAAAAAAAAAATTGAGTAAAATTTTCTATTTGCGGTCGGCCTTCGGCAGGGAATTTCAACCCCACCGAGTGTATTTCTGACATGAAACAAAGCTCCTTATAAAAAAAAGAGCCATCAACTGGTCAGAGTCGGCTTAGCATAAACTGTATGTCTCTTCATTTGTCGGAGAAACATCAAGACGCAAAACCCTCAAATTGGAGGAAGAGCTCGACCAAAAATCGCTTCTGCGGTTACAAAGCGCCAATTATACAATATTTACAAAAAAGTATTAGTCTTTATATTTATAAAGCCTTGGCCATCAAACCTAAAATCCATTGTGCTGATTTTTCTTAGAGACAACGTCAGGCACATATTAAAAATTAAGAAAATTTTATTTGCACACTTGTATACGATTTCTGGAAACAATGGTGTTCTTATGCCGTGTTTCACCCATACTCTGTATAAACCATCAACAGCTTTATATTGTATAATACTCAAAATGTTTCGCACTGTAAAGATGTTTTTTCGTAGCTGCCTATGGCAAATTCTACCTCACAGATAACCTCTCCAAATTTCTATGCATTTCCAATATGAGCACTCATCTCTATTCAAATTGTTAGTAAAAGCTTTCACAAGCTCTAAAGCCTAAAGCTTCTTTATCAGTCACAATACTGTTTGGTTCATGCTTGAACATGAAACGAGAGCAGCACAAATTAAAGTTTGGTCGAGTCTACCTCAGTCGCTTCTATGATGGACTAAGCACGCCTCGAAGCAGATTATTTTACCTTCGACGTTTGACTAAAGAGTTGGGTATTTTTTTCTTGTTTTTTTTTTTTTTTTTTTTTTTTTTGTTAAAAGTTAGTCAGCGAAACGCCAATTTGTTTGTATGAGTTTAAAATTTTTTTTGTTTTACAACAAAGAAAAATGTTAGAAGTGACAGATGTTTCAGACATCACCACATCACCTCATCAGACATCTTCTGGCAGTGATCGAATCTATAAAATAATTTAGCCAAAATCCACGATTGGAATTTATTTCGAGTTATGTTGAAAGGATTTGGTCGGTAAGAGGCTGCATGTCGAACTTTGACAATAATCTAGCTATATACATATGTGTGTGTACTCGTCAAATTATGTACGAATACCATTTTTATATTAGGAATAGAGATATTCACTCATTTTCAAACTGATTAATAAATTATTTAAGTTTGTAAGGACGTAAGAGTATCTGCATTTGTGGGATCAGCAACCAATTTTCAAAGCCAACTTCAATTTAATTCAAGCCAAACTGAAAACAAATGAAAAATCATTAATTCATCGTTACAACTCCTGAACCACCTTCTCAAGGAGACATTCCCTAAGTAGCGTTTCGTTTATAATCCGTTACCATACAATTTTTTTTCATAAATTGTAGAGCTTTGGTTTTAAGCTTTTATCTAGAGATATATGTTCAATGAAGTCTTAACTAGCAAAATGATTTCGGTTGAAGTTACTCTCAATGACGGTAAAATGTGAAGTCACTTCAGGCTTGGTATTTTCCGTATGTTCAGCTTCTTTAGAGATATGCCAAGCTTATCAAAAATCCAAGTGGATCGAAGTTCGTAAAAGCGATGTATTTTGATTACTTTGGATTTCCTTTGGACATCAGTCACAAGTACTGGGTTCCCCATGGGGAGTAAAAGACATGTGTGTAGTCTTTGCGATATGGCAAATAAAAATGACCCCATTGTTAATATAATATCAAACATCATTAATTTGGCAGGAACTTTCAGATCATCGCGATGATTGTAATTTCGCTGTGTTTGATAAAAAACGTTAACCTGATATGTGTTACTCTGCCAGATAGCGATGCGTTAGCTATTCGACCAGTCATGTACTCCATCGATGAGTCATTCACAGAAAATGATTCAAGTGTTGAAGTAAAAAGCTCTTTTTAAAATTAGGAAAGTGTGCCATCTTATTTTAGCCTAGATATTTCATCTTAGCGCCAAACCTTTAAATGGAAAGGCCTCAGTACACTAAAGAGGTCATTCTAAAAAGCATCGGAGGCTCTAACTTCTTGTTGAAATCAAAGAATTGTTTTACTATAAGAAACAAGAGTATCATTCTTTTGAAACCGAGAGTCAGAGTTGGTTCTATTATTTTCTGAAGATGATGATTTGTTGTTCTGATATTGGTTGGCATTTATTTATTTATTCTTCCAAAAATTGCCTAAAATGTATACCTTCCTACACCTTCTAGGAAATCTATGATACTGGAAAAATAAATTTGGTACATGAACCCCTTGTTACAAGGGATCGCATACTTCTGCTACTTTTACATATTCAATATTTATTTTAATATTTAAAGTTTTTAACAAGAGATACATCTCCAAAATGTTCTTTAAATAGAGCACAGAGAAATTTAAAGCCGGCGGTTTTGAGGATCCTCATATAAGAAGATCAAAAATATAATTGTAAAATGATACTGGTATTAAGGAAAATTCCTATACTGAATTAATTTGGATTCCGGACAATTTTCGGAGAACGCTCTGAGGAGAATATCGAACTGTTGTTACCTTACCTCCAGCAGCTTGGTTGTAATATGAGCATTGGGGTATACTTTTCTCAGAGCCATCTGGACCGTTTTTCCTGAAAAACTTGATGTTGTGTTTTTGCGACTTGATGTTTTTCCAACAAACAGAGTGGCCTACAGTTTATATTAAGCCTCCTCCGAACGGCTGATGGTATTTTAAAGGCTTCTCATAAAATTCAAAAATAATAAAAATAATAAATTTCATGTCAAAAATACACTCAGAGGGGTTGACATTTCCTGCCGAGTACCGAGCGCAATTAGAAAATTTGACTTAATTTTTATATTCAAATTAATTCTCCTGCCAGAAACCACGTTTGTTACCGAATGGCTCTGAGAGGTCCTTCCCAGTTCTGAGGTGTACAGTGTTGTCCAACGTCTGTTCACAAAGTCGTATAAGTTTTTCGAGAATGACATATTCCGCCATAGCAGCGTAGAAATAGCTGCTTACTGTGCTGTGGCAGCTTGAAAATCGATGAGAGGTCGTGAGTGTTAATTCTCCTTTCACGGGTGTTTTCCAAGATTTGGCGCACGGTGAAAATCTGGTCAATGGTTGACTTACCAGGCCTAAGGCCCCACTGATAAGGTCACTTTTTAACGGTGGGATTTAGTCTTTAGTCGTTAACGAGGTTAATCCTACGATAACTAGAGCAGGGCGAGGGGCCTTATTCGATTGATTTGGCAGAGCACACTGAGGTTCCAATCATGGGGCTTTCGTCTGACCATAATCTGCAAAGAAGCTGTTACATGCATCTTGTCAACTCGTCACCGCCATGTTTAAATAGCTCCGCTTTTAAACCATCGGCTCCAGCCAATTTGTTGTTCTTTATGTAGGCAATCGCTATTCGAACCTCGTCATAGTCGGGTAATGGAACGTCTTTTCCCTCGTCATGGTTCGCCACCTCTCGAAGTTTCATTTTCACTGTTATTCAGCTCCATCTTATATCGGAACCAATCTTCTGAATCGTAGATAACAAAAAACTATATATGTACGTTTCAGAGACTCGCCAAGAAATTTCACAAGCACGACCGTATCGAGAATGTATTTAGTTTAAACTAATTTGTTCTTGTTGTAATCATTTTAGAGTATACATTCATTTAATAACTCAAAATTATTCCCTTAGCTTGCTATATAGATATTGATGAATGTGTGGACGAAGACTTGACTGCAGACGACAATAGCTTCTCACAATGGCACACTCTGCCCGATATATTATTGGAAGAAATATTCTCATATCTAACATACAGAGAACGGTATTACGCCAGTTTGGTGAGTAGTAGCTAAGTATGGTGGGTTGATTAATTCACAAACAAGTTTTGCCTCTCTTCCCAATCAGGTATGTAAGCATTGGTACAGTGCCTTCTATCTGCCCATGGTGTGGCAAAACTTTCTTGTCGATGATCGAACACTAACACGTGCTAAATACAACTACTACTCGGGCTGGCAATATTGTTTGGATCATATACGAACACAGAACTGTCTGTCTCGAGTTGGCAAATATCTGCGCGGCTTGGAATTCAGACCCGAGCATAGTTTTAACAATATTTTCCAGTTTATGACAATGCTTTCATGGAGTATGGACAAAGTGAGTTTGGCATATTGTTATTGGATAGTTTGATAAAAAAAAAAATAATCTATATCACAAAAGGGCTCTGAAGTGAAAGCACCTGCCGACCTTAAGTTTATGGGCGCTCGCATAAGATCACTCGTCTACGTATTTCCCTGCAATATGTCACAGGCTAACGATCCTGAGGGTATTAAACTCTTCGGTACTGGTGGTCAGTTGCTTAAAGGTCTCAAGGAACTCTTATCCAAGTTGCGTGATCTACGAACTTTGAAATTAATTGATTTCGTACTGGAACGTTTTGAGGCCAAACATTTGCTGGATGAAGTATTGGAAGCGTGCTGTACGAAGATGCGCGTCTTAAATTTGGTGAATGTCACAACCACACATTGTCCCATTATGCATGTGGGACTGTTTATCAATTTACAGGTAAACAAGAACAATCGAATAGCGACTTATGTTTATTTGTATGTCATTGAATTTTTGTAATATTTAATATCATTTAGATTCTAACAATCTCACCGCAAAATATTGACGATGACGTTTTAATTTTATTAGCCGATACCAAATTGAAGCATTTGCATTTGTTGCAAAACTGTTATACTTCCACCTACCTGTCTATTTCGCCTTGTAGTGTTAAGGCATGGCGGCAACTGAAAAGGGATAATCCACGGTTAAAGGTGCATCTTCGTGTGGAATCCATGGGCGATGGCGAAGTTGTCTTCCAACCCGAAGCACCCGTGTACAGTGTCACTTATGAGGCACCCAAATCAAAAGTGAGTGATTAGACTAATTCATTCGAAAAGAGGTTGTTATAAGATTTTTCCGAATAAGGCAAAAAAAGACGTGGTAGATATTTGTCTGAAGGTACGAGCACTAACACCATGTCGAACAGGACAAGCAAAAATGTATTTTATACAATATATACGACGAGGTCCTCACAGTTTTGTGCTATCTGCCGTGGTGTTAATCCATCAATAGTACAGTTGATTCTAAGCTGCCTCAGAAGTGTTGCTGGTACTTCGAAGGATAATTTTATTTCAGCAACTTTTTCAAAATTAGATTTCAATAGTTTCGAACATTGAACTGGCCAGAAGTCGAACCAATTATCTTCCGATTTGTATCATCTACTAAAACTACTCAGAAAACTTTTTGATTCCACATCAATCTAAAAAAAAAATTACGGTAAACGATGCCTGTAAAACTGGTTCTTATTTTATCAAACTCACTTTCTCTTTTCACTTAAATTCTTTCGGGATTTGTAAGCCCAGGTATGGAGGCACGAGTTTTTGATCTAGCTATTTCTCTCAATTTTCTTAGCTAGACTTTAACCTACTACCACCAAGTGTTAAGCATTTATTGATAGTAGCTAAATGGGGGCTTCACATAATCCTGATTAAAAAGCAGTACACGAGTCTCAGCCATTTTGAACTGACATAATCGAAGAGTTTAGCCATCACATTGAGAATTCAGCGGTATTGCAGCTTTTTATTTTATTAGTACTGATCTCAGGGTTTATCTAGCACAGGCTGTGTATGACCGATAATATATACATATATGTATAATACATAATATGTCTCCGGTTTATGGCTTGATTTATGACCACAACTTCATCTCGGAATATTCCGAATTCCTCCGAGTGTATAACCATAACCAGACCCTATTAAAATCAATGGAATTTACAAATATTACTGTATATTTCTTTTATTTTGCCATATCTGTTTTAAGAACTTTCTGGTCTATTGCGAAGTTAGTTCTTTGGGGCAGACAGAACTTTTTCATAAACCGCCCTCTGCACTTCTTAATTTACTGTGACCCAGCAAACTTAGATCTGAAGGACCATTGTGAGACCGCTGCCGTGTACTTATCACCTTCTCGGAAGTAGTATTCGACAAAAGTTATTGGTAACTTTCCATTCTCCTACAGTGAAACCACATGTGTTTAGTTGCTTACACTGTAACCGGGCTAGGAGGAATACATTCTGTAATCTTTTAGCATCTAACTCAAGCCAAAGCTGTTTAGTCACGTGGCAAGTTCTTTCATTAAGCCATCTGGTATTGTCTTTTTTGGCGAAAGCTACCTTCACCATGAGTTTTGCAATGGACAGAGGTATGTCCGCATCGTATGTAGAATTTATTGTAGGTAAAGTGGTCCTTCCTCTTTCTACCTCAACCACCGCACAGATGCCTGAGATTTGCTTATCTGCGGGGACACAGAGCATGGAGCATGGTGATGAGATTTTTGGGCCCCAGACAGTGACTCCGTAGAATATGACAGGTCTAATCAGCTTTGATACCGAGGTCAAGTTTGGTTTGTTGGTATTGGAAAGGAAGTTATTTATATTTGTTTGTAAAAGGAACCATTAAAATTTTGACGTACACAATAATAGCCAGATGGTACAATATATAACGCAGATCCCTTTCCTCCTCTATGCTCCTCAGCAACTGATTTATTGTCAATATACAATAGAAAAGGGTAACGAACTCCTCCATAGGGTTAAGGGCATCCGGGCAATTGATCTATCATGATTTTGGATAATGATTTTAGGATTTCTTACTTCATAACTGAGATTAAAATCAGTAAACCAAAATTTCCTTTTAATTTATTCATTTTTCTCTTCAAACAGGTTAAGACAGACTTCGTCTTACGCATGGTGGATCATTACAAAAACAAGCTCAGTGTGTACGGTCATGAGACATTGCCACGATTCACCAGTCCAAAGCCCTTTCACAATCGCATCGACAGCCTGATGCTGCTGATCGCTCGACAGTGTTTCAATCTGCACACTTTGGTAAGTTTTGAACATTTACATATTGCTCTGTACTCTACTTTGTAAATTTTCATTGCTCTAATAGTTTATTCGGGAGAAAGTGTCTACCTCCACTGTGTTGTTGATTGCGAGAACCGCTAAGAATCTGCGTATTCTCCATGTACGTCGCTACGCGGTCATCATACGCTGCGATTGGCCGCGACATCCCGAATGGACGGATGAGTTCTATATTTGGCTGCGGCACACGTCGCGCTCTTACGAAGCAGTGGAACGCGAAGTGTCGCAAATGCTCGGCTACAAGTGGCATTTCCTCAGCGATTGTGAATACAAGAAACTGCAGGTGGATGTGCGAAGAGCGTGGTGAGAGGAAGGAAAGATAAAAAAGTGTGATATTAAATATATGTTGACATACGTATCTATCTATACGGCAGTGTTTGTTTGTATATGCTTAAGTGTTTGATCGAATGCAAATGCATTACTGTTTTCTATTTATGTATTTATTTATTTGAAAAAAAAAAACACAAAAAAACATATAGAAAAAACCATAATCAAAAGTTTGTTTGAAATTTTGTTGAGACTCGGTGGCAGGGGAAGAGGTCTTTGATCTGGGTTTTTACTTGTAATAAATTTCTCTACATCTAAAGGAGCATGATTTTGCGAAAATTTTTGACGTCAAGTGTAAGAGATTACAAAGCATATTTCACTATTTCATGTATTTTTTCTTTTGATCAATACAAACAATGTTCATATATTCATTACTAACATATTTCGGAAAACCGTTAACAAAGACAGTCATTAAACGATCAACTGAAGGCGGGAAACCCCTTTGCAATTTTAATGTGTGATTAATATGTGAATATTGGTTTTTTTTTGGAAATTGTGGCTAAAATGTTTAATCAACAAATATTTATTTTAAATTCTCAATAAGTCGTATATAGCAGTATAATATGTTTAGCGATCTCATCACTAAGCCATTCCTGAATTTCTAATAATATTTACATAGACAGCACAATATTCACGATATTCAAAATCAGGCAGCATGAGTTGGTAAATATTTGCTCAATTTCGGTAAACTCATTTTGGGGAATCACTTACGCTGCACTCAATTCTATCATTCGGATGAAATATCAAAGCGTTATTAAAGGGTGAATCTTTTTTTCCTAGGACCAAAGCAACGTTTATTAGTTAGTATTGCCTACTGTCATTCGGAAGGCCAGGGTTCGAGTTCTGCTGCGAAAATTAATTAAAAAAAAAAAAAAAAAAATTAATTATTTTATCTTGAATCGCCTCTCAGCAGAGAATGTCACTCCCTCCGAGTGTATTTCGAACATGAAATGAAAGCTCCTCACGCAAAGCCATCATTCGTTCGAACTAATCAGGTAAATGAAAGAACGTCGCTATAACAAGGTTGAGAGATAAAGACGGCATCGAAGGATGATCTGCGCAATAGCATATAAGAGTACTTTTTGAAGTCTATTGAGCTAATAAAAGCTGTTGACAAAAATGTAAATATCTGATGGAGCTTATCATGAGGGAGATAAAATATTTATTCGAAAATAAATAAGTAGTTGAAAAACTCGGTATTCAAATATATATTAAAAAGGCCTCATATATACATACATAGTATGTTCTTTAGTATTAAACTTGATAAAAAATAAAATTCTTACTGAAAACGTTGGTCTCGGTTTTAAATACGGATTGTTGCTCTATGCTTTATATTTTAGCTTTATTAAAGTTATAAAATAACAATGAAAAAAATAGGATTCGGAAACTTGTTAAACCAACTCAAACTATCAACATTTCTATGTATAGGTTAAAAGTTCTGTTTCTGCAGGATTCTGCAGGCCTACATATGCTAGCATAAATATTTCTTTTTTAATTCAAATTGTTTGCCGACTTGAGTCCGTGTAAAACAAAATTAATGTTGAGTTTTTAATTTACATCGACATCAAGCCGTCAAACTATTTGAATTTAAAATAAAAGAAAGGTGGCCAAAATCATTGATATTTTATTTTATTTTATTTTATGTTATTTTATTTTATTAGCTTTATTTCATTTTAACTTATTTTAATTAATTTTATTTAACATATTCGACTTTAATTTTATTTATTGGTTTGTTTTACTTAAATAAATTTTATTTAATATTCTTTTTATTTAATTTTATTTTATTTTATTTTATTTTATTTTATTTTATTTTATTTTATTTTATTTTATTTTATTTTATTTTATTTTATTTGATTTTATTTTATTTTATTTTATTTATTTTAGTTTCTTTATTGTATTTTTACATAAATTATTTTAACTCGTTTAATTTTACCTTTTTTAATCTAATTTGTTCTCCTATATTTTTCCCTTTTTCCATTTTATTATGCAAATTGAATTTAATTTAATTTAATTTTGTTTTAAGGTATTATATTTTATTTCTGAATACATATGAACGTTACTTATATATGTTTGTTTCAAATATACCATGGCGTATACGTAATGTTTATACACATTCTGGAATAGTGCATTATTTTGCATTAATAGATTACTGTGGTTTTAGTTAGAATATGGTTTCCCTCTATCAGAATTATCTCAATTTAAAAACTAATTTTGTTCAACAGCAGATTAATTTCAATTTCAATTTGTCCGAGATTTAAATTTTATTTGACTTGGAAATTTTCAGCATTATTGAAGATGCAAGATTGGAAAATGTATGTTTTAATTAAGGTTGCCTTTTTAAGGGGTAACACCACCGTATATATTCTCAAATGTGTTATGTCTTTTTAAAATCAACGAAACACCCTATATATGTTAAGGAATAAATATGTGAATTAATAAAGTCAACAAGTGAGGGTAATGCGCTCTTTTATTGTATACATATATTTCACAACCTACCCTCCTCTTCTTCACACCCTATAACAATATGTTTATTTACTTTTTATTTAAGTTAATATTTCAGATCAACATACGATGATAGAATGTGTTCTAAAAAATCCAAAATGCCTTGTATAAATATCAGCGCGCATATATTTCACAACCATATTCGCCCATCGAACACAGTTCAGAGTTAACTCTTCAAGAACACTTTGGTAGAACTCGGACAGCGAAATGAAACTCTTGTTGGTACTTTTTCTGTGTTTCGCCTTTGTGCTGCAACATATTCACACATCGCCAACAATTACGGTTGGTGGCGTCGGTGTTGGCGTTGTAGGCGGTATTGGAGTTCCAGTGGTGCCACCTGTGCCAGTTTATTATGGTTCGCCGTACTCGTACCGCAGATACCCTGGATATCCATATGGATATTATGGTGGATTTAACGGATATCGAAGGTATCCGTATTTTTGAAGGAGTCTGAAAATTTTGAATTACGATGATTCATCGTAATCAGTTGTTATAAGAGTAGTATTAGTTCTTGTGTCGTAAAAATTTTCAAATCTGCCATGATACTCGCTGAAGGTGAAGGTTTTCGACCTTCTTTAACATACACGTACTTGTATATCATAAATGTTGATAGTTAAATATAAAATGCATTTGTTAAAAATGAAAAACTTTATATAAACTTTTTGTTTTGTATTTGATTTATTGTTCTTATGTATTGGGATTTCTCTTTAGAAGAGTTTTCTTTCTATTTGCCTTATACAAGTAATAAAGCACTAACGATTATTAAAAAAATATTTACATATTTACAAAGGTACTTAAGCAGCGGCAACTTTGTAAATTCCCTCCTAAGCGGCTAGTGAAGCTTCCGATTGCTATAAAATGCTGCTGCCATTTCCAATTTACTGTTATTAACAATTTTTACGCTGCTGAGTGTGCATTTCGTAGATTTTTCTTTATTCTATAACTAATCAAGTCAAAGAAAATGAAACTTCCATTGGCTCTTCTCATCACTTGTCTGTTATTGATGTTCGTGCAAAGATCGGAAGCAACACCAACGATAATAATAAAACCTTATCCGATTTACGGACCGCCGATCCCGTATCATCACCACCATCATCATCACGGGCATCATCACGGGCATCATCATGGCGGCTACGGTGGTTACTATGGCGGTTTCTATGGCGGACATCACGGACACTATCACTGAATTCTCTACAAATTTGTAGCAAAGCAATTACTCCAGCAATTTTTTAAACATTACAGCTGTTATTTTAAATTTAGTATAACATATATATGTAAGTGTACGAGTAAATAAAAAAGTGTAACAAACAAAAAGGTGTTACTTTATTAAGATGCGCCCCATAGCCAATCATATATATATATATATATATATCATATATATATATATATATATATGTATATGATTATAAATATAAAGTCTAGTAAAAAGTAATCCATTATTTTTTTATTAAACTAAAGACTTTCACTACCTTTTATTGAGGTCATTTCTTCACTAACCAAATCATTCGCCATGGAGAGGAGCAGATAGTAATCACTAGATCCGGACTATCAGTTGGATGCATCAGAGCTTGATTAGTTCTAAGAGCTTCTGGACAGTCATTGCCGATACGTGTAGTCTGATGAAAGACCATTGTTGACCATTACTGAGCACTTCTTTTAGACGGTCCACTTTCTGGGTAGCACATAGCCGATGTTTCTTTGCCAAACCCATCAAACATACAACAAAGCCTTCCTGGCTGAAGAATCCTGATGAAGTCCATTATACCGGAATCTGGTACTACAGCATAATCGAGGATTTTTCATTGTGAAAAATGATTTTTCCGATTGCTACGCCAAAGTTAAATGTCCACCCTGGCGTAAAAATCGCCAGCACATTTCTTACATTGAGGTGTGGAAATATCTCATAAGCGAAAATTTCGGTCAAATAAACAGTATGGTGAAAAACTTAATTTTCATGCGGATTGTGTTGAGACTTTGCTAACAAGGTTTTGCTCTATTATATTGGGTATAAGCATTAATTCCTGCGGATTTTTTTTTGGAAAATTAAGACTTTATTGTGAAAAAGTTGTTATACATTTAATGTTCAAAGTATTGCCCATCGGAAGTTAAGATGTTTGCCCATCTTTCTGGCAGTTTATGGATCCCATCCCAAAAGAACTTCTCCGGCTTGGAGGTCAAGAAAGAATCGAGCCAATTTCTGATACCCCGTTCTGAAGTGAATCGTACTCCGGTGAAGGCATTCTGCATTGATCTGAACAAGTGGTAATCGGAAGGTGCTATGTCTGGGCTATAAGGCGGGTGACGTAGAACTTCTCACCTACAGTTTGAAAAATTATTGATTCGTGTCTGGTCGCATATTCTGGTCGTTTTTCTGCGATGGCCTTTTTCAAACGAATTCACCCGATCTGACCCGATTTCAATAGCTCATAATTGAGCACACCCTTATGGTCTCACCAAATATATAGCATAACCTTGGCACCATGGATATACAGCTTTGCCGTGGATGTCGATGGTTAGCCGAGCTTCACATACGATCTTTTGCGCTTTGGGTTGTCATAATTAATCCATTATTCATCGTCAGTGACAATTCGATGCAAAAATGACTTCTTTT